AAAAAACAAAACTTGATGTCAACTCGACTGTGAGAGTAAATTATAATTAACTCATTTTTAAATATATTCGTAACCCAACCATTTTCATCCATTTCATGTTATTTTCCAATTTACTTGTTTTTTCAAGAAATAGAGAAAACAAAATAGATAATATGAAAATATTCATGAAAAAAATATTTTTAGGAGAAAGTAATATTAAATTAAACATGATCTTAAAAAGACTAGCTAATTACTTTTTAGAATTAGAGAGATTATTTAATTTATTTCGTAAAACTAAATAACTAATTTATAACTTACTCCAGGCAAGCGAGCAAAAGATTTAAATGTAAAGTTTTTCTTTCTCTAGCAATTTTCACGTACCAATGTCAGATTTTTATACTATCATGCTCAGTAATGGTAGCTTTTGTTTATTATTTAACTAAAGAGAAAAAAATTTTATTATTCAAATAACTTTTGTTTTTTATATTGAATATATAATTATATTTCAAATCTCAATTTTATTGAATCTAAAATAACCTATTTTTTATTCATTAAGATTTTTTTTAAAACTTAATTTTTTAATCACATTTAAAAGTGTTTTTCTTTAAATATTTTTTTTAAAAAAATTATACCTGCAAAAATTACCATAATATTAAATATAATTTTAATACGTGTTTTACATCATAATAGTTTTTTAATTATGATTTGAAAAGACAGTATAAACTGAATTTTTTTAAAATAAATTTAATAAAAGAGGTAGGTATAAGTTGGCAAGACATTTGGATGGCCACCAAACTACAAAGCAATCCTTGGTATGATTTATGTCCTAATCAATTTCTTTTCTTGTCTGAATTTTCATTCTCCCGTACAAAATGAAAAACCCCATAAAGTCACAAGCTTCACCTCTTATTTCCCTCTTTTAACAGATAACATAACACCCAATAATACACCTTTGCCCCATATCTCTTTCCTGTTGCCTGCTGATCATTCTTAATTCTCAACCTAATCTGAAAAAACACTCATTAACCCACAATCTTCCTGCTTGGTACCCTCTCTTCTTTTAATGGTATTCTTTTTATTTAGCTCCATCCAATGATGCATAAGGCTTGTACTTGTGGGTGCTATTTGTCCGCTTCTAAATCAGCAGGAAGAATCTCTTCTTTCCCTACAAAAATGAACTTCTTTTCTCTTAATTATTAGTAAAGTATCATCAACTAATACCAAACCCCAATGAAACCCTTTTCATTTTTATAGGTTAAGCTTCAAGGAAAATACACATTCATCTCTCTCCTTCATTTCCACCTTCTCCCTCTAATCTAAACTAATCAAGGCTTTACCTATACATACATACATACATTACATTAATTCATGTACACAAGGACCATAAACCATTAAAGTCAATCTGTTTCTTTCCTCTCTCTCTCTAGTCTATATGTAAGGGAAAGTCTCCACCACCCTTGAAGCAAAGGAGACATCAGCTTTAACTTTTTTATATTCTCTCTTTTCTGGTTTTTGGGTGTTTGTGCATTCATTGAGATCTGTTTCAAAATGGGGTTCCTTGAAGGTTCTTGTTTAAACACAGGAGAGCCACCAAATAGCTCTACTAGTGATGATCTGTCCACTGCTACTTTCAGAGCCAAAGACCAATACTTTGAGCATGATTATGAGCGAAAAATGAAAGCTTTTTGGTCAAAAATGTTTTGGCAATTTGGTTTGGCCTGTTTAGTGCCAAATGAGAGTGATGAAACCAGTAAGGAAAGTAATAAGAAGAACGCAGATTTAGAGCACAACAAGGCATGGTTGTTGGCAGAGTCTGGTGGCTGTGGTAGTGCAGAGTTAACAAATGCTGATCCACAATCAGTTCACTCTTCTTTCAGGTCCAGTTTATGCTCTCAAGTTGAGCTTGAGTCAATGAACATGAATTCTTCAGCTACTGTTTTGATGGTGAATTTGGACAATGGATTGAATGAGACTAGAGCTAAAGAGCTTAAATGGAGGAGAATTCAATCGCTTGAGAGAAGTATCTCTCCAGTTGCAAATTCTTTGGTCAGATTCAGTTATAGTGAAATTCTTGCTGCTACTAATAATTTCTCAAAAGGTAAGAAATGGGTAACTTCTGTTTTTTGTTTTGAATCTTAAAGCTTGGTTCTTTTTTGAGATTTTGATTTATTTTTGTTGTGATGGGTAGGTAGAGTTTTGGGAAGGGGAGCTTTGAGCTTTGTCTTTAGAGGTAAAGTTGGGTTCTTGAGGACTGCTGTGGCAATTAAGAGATTAGACAAGGAGGATAAAGAGGCTTCAAAAGCATTTTGTAGAGAATTAATGATTGCTAGTTCTCTTTACCACTCAAATATTGTGCCTCTTGTCGGGTTCTGTATTGATCCAGACGAGGGCTTGTTCTTGGTGTACAGATATGTATCTGGTGGCAACTTGGAGCGCCACTTGCACGGTATACTTTCTTGTTCTTTAATTTGGGATTTTGAAATTTGATTGAATTTTTGGAATTTTATTAATTTTTGAATTTTATTAATTTTTGGAGTTCTACCTTTTGTAGATAAGAAGAAAGGGAAGGGAGGAGTTAAGGGTTCTTCAGGCCTTCCCTGGTCTGTGAGATATAAGGTTGCGCTTGGAATTGCGCAGGCAATTGCATATTTGCATAATGGAACTGAAAGATGTGTTGTTCATAGAGATATTAAACCCTCAAATATACTCCTTTCTTCCAAGAAAGTTCCGAAGGTAAGGGCTTGTTTCATGGATTACAATCTCTTATTTAAGTGGTTCTATGGTATTCAGAATCAATTTAAGTTATGCATGTTATTTTTATTGATAAACAATGACAATTATGCTTGCAGTTGTGTGATTTTGGTTTGGCTACTTGGACTTCTGCACCTTCAGTCCCTTTCCTTTGTAAAACTGTCAAGGGAACATTTGGGTATGAACTGCAACAAACTTATGAGAAAAGAAACCATATATGTTCTTTTTAATGGTTCAACAAATTTATTCTTTGTTTTTTCCTCATTTGCTGATATAAATCTTAAATGTGCAGCTACTTGGCTCCTGAGTATTTCCAGCATGGGAAAATATCTGATAAAACCGATGTGTACGCTTTTGGTGTGGTCCTATTGGAACTAATTTCTGGAAGGAAGCCAATCGAAGCAAGGAAGCCGCTGGGGGAAGAGAATTTGGTCCTATGGGTAGGTTACTGAATTAATTTCCTTTTAACTTTCCATCAGTCCCTTTGACTTTGCGATGTATGAGTGAATGGCCCTGCTATAAGCTTCCATGGAGAAATAGGGCTTTCTGTTACTCAATGCCATAGATTAGGTCAAGACTTGAATCAGATGTTGAGCAAATAGCGTTTCTTTGTAAACTTTAAGCAATATAACTTGCTTTGTTAGGATGGCATTGTTCTATCCTCTAGGTCTATGAACGGGGATTTATGCATCATTTTTTCTCTGCTGGTCCTTGGGAAATGGATTGGCAGTGAAACTGCTATGATACTGGCGTCTAGGATTCTAGGCTTTTGCTTGACTTTATCAATTCCTTCTAGTGTACTTTCCACCTCAATTCTCCGACTTCTTTAGCCAAAGCATGAGCTATTATGCAATTTTCACCCCAGAATCATGCACAAATTGACCAAATTTCTTTTAGCTGATGCATCATGTGGAGGATGAGTTTATTTTGCTGTCTCATGGTTTTACTATTTTGAAGAATTCTATCAACGTTAAACTTCGCTATGATGTTTGCCTTCAATCTCTAATAAAACCATGTGCTGTTGCTTTGCCAACAAGGTCACTCATATTAGGATTTGATTGCATTATGAAAAATCATTTTGACTTGAGCAAGTAGCAAACAGCTCTATCTTAGATATTGGCCGTTTGTTCACAGCATGATGAAGTTTGTGCCTTTATTATTGGATGTGAAATTGACATCACGGACTCTGCAATCTTTTTGCAGGCTAAACCCCTGTTGCAGAAGGGAAAGGAAGCCATTGAGGAGTTGCTTGATCCACGACTAAAATGCACTTTGAGAAATACAACTCAAATAACCCAGATGATCCAGGCTGCCGCTGCCTGCATAAGCAATGAAGAATCTCGAAGACCAGGAATAGACGAAATTATTGGCATATTGAGAGGTGAAGAACAGCCAATCTACTCAAATAGGAAGAAATCCAATTTTTCCGGGATTATAGATTGTTACCATCAACTACAGCAGACAAAAAGTGAGATGAACAGTCACTTAGCTTTGGCTATGTTAGGAGTTTCAGAATTTGAGGATGATGACCACCTTTATTGTCGTTAAAAAAACATGGTATATTCAACTTTCTGATTTTTCTTTTTGGTGTTTTTGCTTGGAGAGAGAATCCTAGAAATCAGAATCAAAAGGATTGTTGAAATAGTAAATAGGAAAAAAATAATTTGCTGAGAATTGTGTAAATAGCTTCCATTTGGCTGCCTCAGCTTCGATGGCAAACATGATTTTAAGGTTAGACTTCTAATATTATATTCTTCCAAGCAATGTGCTCATTTTCTAGTTATCTTCCCTCTCTGATTTTAAAGATCCTGAGTAATAGATTCATTTCAAGGTTAGACGTCTTATTGTATATTTTCTTAAACACAGTATGCAGTTTGACTTGTTTTCTTTACTTGTTGATTGCAGAAAAGCTTGAATGTATGCATTTATCGCTTGTGCCTCTGTGTGTGTGTGTGTTGTGGCCTGAATAAGTGGAACAAAACAAGTCTGAATCAAGAAATGTGAATTCTGAATTCTCGAGGCCATAACTTGAATACCAGCATATGGTTTTTGGATGATCTTCCCACCTGACCGCAGAACTGGAAGATCACACTTTAGTAAATAGCCAAGGAATTGAACATCCTATGACCATAAAACGGTACTATGGTCATTTTTTTCTGTGTATCTAAAATGTTCTGAAACAGGGGCCATATTTTAGTGGGGATTAGAAAGCATGCAAGGGGCAACGTCTATTTTTTACCACAGAACCGCGTTGTTGTTGCGCTATCACATTCAGAATACTCAAGACATCAAATTGCTCGTATAGAAACATCAGGTGATAAAGACGTTTTTGTAGCTACCAAACCAAGTCCGTGTCAATCAAAATTCAGATGGACTTAGCCTCTGCCTTTCACAATCACGAACTACATTACATCCCGAGCAAAAAATAACAGTGCAAAGAAAAGGAAAGAATATATGTTGTAACATTAAAATATCTTAGCAACATCTTTCATCAGGCCACTGTTAGCCTTCGCAAAATCTAAGAACTCCTGGAATGATATGAATCCATCACCATCAGTATCAATCTCAGCCATCATGCGCTTGATCTCCTCTGCTGTGACTGAACCGAGGGTCTTCAAGCAATCGCCGAGCTCTGCTGCAGAGATTTGGCCATCACCATTCAAGTCGAAAAGCTTGAAAATGCGCTCCAGCTCAGGCCTTTCATCAGCCATGTTGGTGGGAGTGTGTTTTGGATCCTAGCCTTGTAATTTTGAACGAGGATGACTGGGAGGAAAAGGAGTTGGGTTCTTAAAGGGATGATAAACGTCTTCAGCTTTTAAGGCCGTCCAATGAACTCGGAATAGGAACGGATCACCCGAAAACTCTCAACTATTTGTCCACAGATATCCTTGGGTTGAACCAGACCAATCTAAACATAGAAATTGTTCAAAGAAACGACAGAAAAATGAGGACTCAACATTGGATGTCAATCATTTGACACAATCACTAACTATTTGTTGTTTTCTTGACGAAGTGGAAGGCAGGACACAACTCCTACAGTGAAAAATAGGATCTGTTATCGGTTAAAACAGTCAGCTTGTCAAAAAATGCAGAGTTATAATTATAGTGTGAACTACTGTAGAGTTTTTTTTTTTTTTTTAATCATTTGGACTTGTGTCCAGGAAAATGTCTCGATTTCGATAGGAACTAATGGGAAAATTCTTCTGTTGTCTCAACAAAATATTAAGCACTTCCTCACAACTTGATTGAGTTTAGATTTCCACTTGGAGGTCTCAAAGTTAGAATAATGTTCAAATACCGAGTGAATTGATATTAATTAAAATTAAAAACTAAAAAAAAAACACTAAAAGAAAATGAAGATATTGCAGTCACATGACATATCACTATTCATTAAAGTGATGAAATTGCCCTAGCATGATTGTCATTTACAAATTAAATGGACTTAGATTAATTATTTTTTTCTTGTAAAATTACTAATTCAATTCTAAAATAAAAATATATAATACTTATTACTCATAGATGTTTTGTTTTTTTTTTTCAAAATAGTATAATTATTTTGATATTTTTCTTCAAAATAGTATAATTATTTTGATATCTTGAAGACAAAATCAATTTAACTCTCTCACAATTTTATTTTTTTTTACATTTTTTTTTATAAATTTAAAGGTTACATTGCACGCATTGTATAGACAACCTATGCGCTGTTCGAATGAAAGATACGAGGCTTTTCGACTATCAAATACTGCCTTCTAGAATGATATTTGAAAGGTTTCAGTGTCTTAACCTGATGAGTGGTGCTTGTTTCAAAATTCTTGATGGTTTGGTGTCAGCAACCATGTTTTCCCTTATTCTTTATCTCTCTACCTGTACTTTTATGCCAGTCCCTTCAAAATTCTAGAATAACCTTTTAATTTGTTGATTCTTCATATTTGGTTCATTTTCTTTTTATTATAATTTTTTTATCTTAAATAATTTATAAATTTAGTTTGCCTTTTCAATTTCATCACTCTTTAATTTTTTTTATATTTCAAATTTGGTTCCTCTTATTTTTATTGCTATTTGTTTTGTTTTAAATCGTTTTTAAATTAGTTTTATTTATAATTTCACCATTCTTTGATTTTTTTTTTTATCAGATTTGATCCTTATTTTTTTTATTGCTTTTATTTATAATTTCACCGTTCTTTGATTTTTTTTTATCAGATTTTATCCTTATTTTTTTTATTGTCAATTTTTTTTTTAACTTTGACAAGCTTTTTCAATTGATACTTTTAAATTAGCTTGTAATAGACTTCTTAATTAAACCTGAATCCAAGGTTTTAAAGATTTGACTAAGTTTGTGATTTTTTTTAAAGGTTTATTTGGTTTTTCCCCTTTATCTAAGCTAATTTTTTTTCTATTTTATTTTTTAATATTTATTCAATTGGAGACTGAGTTTTTTTTAGCTTGCTTTTTGTAAAATTTCTTATTGATCTTGAAAATGACTTGATTATCTCAGGTCTTTCTGTGAAATTTCTTGTTTTTTTTTTATCATTTATTCAACTTATTTATTTTAATTTTATAATTCAACATTTTCTTGTTTTTTTTTTTTATCATTTATTCAATTTATTTATTTTAATTTTATAATTCAACATTTGATGTGTTGAAAATTGAACTTCGTACTTTTTTTTCCCTTTCCTTTCCTTTCCTTTCAAGTGGTTTTTTTTTTATACTTTTTTTTATAAGATTATCTCAATTTTATATCTATTTATCATGAAGTTTATGAGTTAACTTGGTTTAACTAGTTTTTTTTTCTTGTAATTTTTCCCTTCAATATTGGGTTTTTCTATACTTCATATGGACTAATATTGGGTTCTTTTTACTACTTTTTTCATTGTTGTTTTTTTGTTAATTTATTTATTGATTGTATTTTTTATTCGTACTATTTAAATTACTAATTAATTTAATGATTCATATCTCAATTTTTTTTTCCTTAGCATTTTTGATAAAAAAACATTTAACCATATTGTCCCGTAGCAAGGGCCATAAATATAGTTTGCACTCGAAAATCTTAGGTTCAAATCTTGTAAGAATAGGAGAAATTGCTTCATTTTATAGTTTAAGATTAGTTAATTCATATGCGTTATGTTACGGGTCATGTTAAGTTTTTCTTGAACATAAAAAAATATTTAAATATTACTAATATTTTTTTAATGGAAAAAAATCTAAATTATGTGAGAACTAATCCAATATGACTTGGTTAATTTTAAATGTCCAAAAGCAACCGAGATGACATATAAAAACATGATTTGATGAAAACAAATTAATATGATATTTTTTTATATTAAAATAAAAACATATTGGATTGAGTTGGGTCAACCCAGGTTAATATATTATATTTATAATCTGAGTTATGAGATTACGATAACTCTCTCATATAAAATATATCAAAATAAATTATGAAACCTAATTTTCAGTATATCAAAATAAATTATGAAGCCTAATTTTCAATTATCTCAATGTTAAAGGATAAAATTTTTAAAAAAAATTAATAAAAAAAAACTCATGTTAACCTATTAAACTTGCAATATAGGTCATATGACCAAGATGGTCCATAGAAAATAAATCAAAACAAATTAGAAAGTCTAATTTTTAATTAATTCAATATTAAAATATAAAATTAAAAAAATCAATTAAAAAAACATAACAAAATAACTCAAGTGAATCCGCTAAACTCATATCATGGGTCATGAGATAGAAATAATCTCTTAGAAAAAAATAATATAATTTAACCCGAGTTAACTTGTCATATTTGTGACCCTAATCAATAACTCAATAGAAAATAAAAAAAATAAAATTATAAAACTGAATTCTCAATCAACCATGTTAAACACAATGTTTAATGAAGAATTTTGCAAACAAAATAATTATAAGAATGACACAAAAAATAAATAAAATCAATTTAGATTAACTTGTTATACACTATTCTCGAGTCATAAGGTCAAGATAACTTAATAAAAGTAAATCAAAACAAATCATGAAGTTTAATTTCAAATAAAACACAATATTAAATGATGAAATTAGAAAAAAATTAATTAAAAAAACCAATCAAGTCAACTGGGTTAACCTACTAAACTTGCGATTTAGGTCATAAGACAAGAACAATTCAATAAAAATAAAATCCAATGTTGAAGATCTCATGATACGAGTCTTGAGACCGAGATAACCTATTAGAAAGAAAATTGAAAAAACAAACCGATTTAATCAACATTAAAATATCAAAACATGCGACCTTGATAATAAAACTAAGATATCTTTATAAAAAACAAATCAAAACATATTATGAAACTCAATTCTCAACCGATCCAATATTGAATAATGAAATTAAAAAAATAAAAAATAGATATAAAAAATAACTTAATTCAACTCGGGTTACACATTAAGTATTATTTTTAGGTTATAAATCCAGAATAATCTAATAAAAAGCAAAGAAAAATAAATCCATGAAGATTAATTTTTAATCAACCTAATATTAAAAGATAAAATTAGAAGAAAAAAACAGCCAACAAGTTAACAGATTAGAGTAGGATAATCTAATAAAAAAACAAATCTAATATTAAAAATAAAAATAAAAATAAAATATTGATTGAAAATATATAAAAAATAAAAACAATAAATAGTATAACCCCTTTCTTTTAGTTTTTTTTTTGGTTAATGCGCTGGAGAAAAACAAGATATTTGAGCTCAAATAAGTGATGCACAGTATTAAGCAAATTGACAATAATGGCTTTACAGTTGTGCTGATTCGAGTCATATCAAGGCTAGGATTTCTTAAAGGAAGCCAGTTGGGAGAAAAATAAGGACTATACTTGAAATTGAAACATGAAACTTAACCGTTCTTGTCAGAATTGTTTTTTTTTCCTGTTTATAAGATGACAGCCTGATAGAATTTAATCAAATTTTTGCAGGCCTTACTCGTCTAGAAGCCTTTACTAGCAGGGAGAGACATTAATTGCAGAGAAAGACAAGACATCACAAAATTATATATTTTATTTAATTGGTGATGTACCTCAGCTGAATGGTGTGCGATACAGGGGGGGTGATGTGATCCCCAGGACTGAAATAATTTCACTCAACAGATTGTGATAAAACTTGCATGTTACAACACCGAGCTGGGTAGCTATGTTGCAAGTTACTGGAGTAAATAGATCCTACACTAGCACCATCCATCATTGCAAGAATTGTCGAACGATCTAAAGAATTGGCATGGGACTTGTTTACCTAATCACAGAGATCACAAAAACTCTATCCAACAAGCTGAATGATGGCGCTGTTCACAGCTTCTCTGGTTGGCAAAGCTGGAATGGCACCTCTCTCCTTCACAGTCAATGCACCACAGGCATTCGCAAACTTGAGAGCTTCTCTCAATCGGTCCTCATTCTTAAAGATTAAAAGAAGTCGATCAGTGTGAAAGTGCATTATAAAGTTAAAAGATAAAGTACACTGTTCTTTAAAAGCATAACTGTGAAAACTAAGCATGACTTGCACTAGTTTGCACAACAATAACCTGGACGGGACCAGAAACCATGCATAAATAGAAAACTGGTTTTTAATAGATGATGTGAAAGTGGGAAATTATCAATTTAGAACAAAACAATTTGGACAAGTTCTTGACATTGTCCAGCTCTATGAATTCCTTGCATGATTATAACTAACTCCCTATCGAATATTATACCTTCCAAGTACAGCTGAGACAATGGAAGAAAGCACCTTATAATGGTTATATAGTTGCATGAAATGAAATGATGGGCCAGGATCATTTATGGCTATTGAGATTGCCTAGGGGAGATCCAAAACTCAAATCTCTGAGCCAGCAGCTGATATGTTGACACAAAGCTAGGATTATGCAAATACATATCAACAGACCAAACTGCATCATGATGAAAATACCAAATGTATGTGTAAATTTGTGCTTGCACATGCACAGCAGTATTAACCTGAAGA